AATCACTGTCTGCAAGCTGGCACTCATGTCTAGGCTTACCATCCTCGCATCACAGGAACATTGAGGCCTTTTAGACAGTCAAGGTATATGTACCTCTGTGTCTATTTTAAGACTTAGGTATATGTTCACTATTTTAGAAAGGAGAAAGAATTGTATCTTTCTTTAAAAACACTGGGTACAATTTATTTTTGAGTCCTTGAACAGGAAAAGAAATCCTATTTAATACCATTTCTGTGTGAAAATAGATTCATTATTTGAAGATTTATTTGAAGGTTAATTTTATGATCTTTTATAGATGTGCATAATGGGGGAAGGAGAGAATAAAACCTATTTGAACCTGATCTATAGAGAAGGTCATGTGCATAAGAAAATTTCGTATTTTGAAGAAGTGTTTAGAATATCTAGTTTAAACGCATCCATGAGACAAGTAAAGTAAATTAAAAAGAGATTTTAGCTAACCTATTGTCTTATTTGCATTATAAAACTCAACTAAAAATTACACTAGTCTTTTCAATAAGTTAGAAATTACACATTTTACATACTCAAAATTTATACTAGTTATTCTAGAATTCTTGAGTCAACACCTACTTAAAGAAATATAAAGAATCAAGTTTTACAGCAAGAAAAGCTGCACAATTATCCCCTAATGATACCATGATAAATACCTTGTTTGTGGGCCAGAACTTTGTGTTTGTGCAACAAGAATTGGAGTTACCTCTCGACTATTTCCACTCTGTGAGAAGACAGACTTTGTTCCAGTTTGGCCGATTCTGGCAACAGACTGTAAAACATAAAAAGTCTAAGGTTTATGAATTATAGATTGTACTGTAAATGATTAAAGACACCATGATGCTCCCATCTACATTTTCCCATGAAAGAGTTCATAATTTATAATGTCATTTTAAAACATAAACTATTAATATCATTATTTGTCAGTATCATTAATTATTGCTATATTCGTATGAACATCAGCCTATTTCCTCATTTCAACCTCAGAGTATTTTTATTTCTCTACTATCATTTCAGCTCTCACTTTA